CAAGTGGCGAGAAGGGCAACCGAAAAAATATCAATCAGGCGTGTCCCTATAGACTCACCAGAGACCCCTGCTGGTGTTATACATGCGTGTGCACTTGGTGAGGAAGGAATCAGTCCGGGATGGGGGGGTGGAGGGGGGAAGAGAGAGAAAATCAAAAGCCTTCAGGAGTACAGCAGAGGTGATAAATACTGGAGAAAGAAAAAAGAAAAGGGAATACGTTCTGAACATTGCATTTTTTTTACTCACGTGGACAAAAAAATTGCACATCAAACACTTATTTGAAATGGGTTAAAAAAAAACTTTGGAGAGGTTGCGTGTTAACTTCTTGCTCTCCCCCCACCAACAAAAACTCCCTCAGCATTTTGAGACCAATATTCACTACTTCCTTTGCTGTGGGATACACTACTCAAAACACTGAAGTATATGGTTTTGTAGAGACAACACGGGGTTAAATACTAATCAGAGACAGAGATTCATGCCCTGAAACTAAACGTCTGACATTATTAAAGTAATGCAGTTCATTATTGCTTAGTGCCACAGCTCAGAAAATCATATGCAACTATCCCCTACAGAAATAGCATCTTGTGTCATTAGTTCTGAAAATCTGCTGCCGTGCCATTGAACAGTATCTAAGCCAATGGATCACTGATGGAATTGAAAGATTATAATACTGCATTAACAGTCATAGGATGCCATGCTGTGTAAGTGGAGGTGAAACATCATTATCAGATGAAATAATAACCTCTGTCCCACGTCAACCAAGCTCAGTGCTTGGCACACAATCATTTTCATGCAAAAAAAATTAAAAAGCAGGTTATGTAAACGTGGGGCAGAATTAAGATGTAAACCAATCGAGAGATGCATATGACATTTACAACTTGTGAGAACAGAGCTCAAGGAGTTCAGGATTGGATCTGTACATTAGCGAAAAATGGGTTCAGCCAAACCTTAAGAGGGAAAGATCATCCCAATAATTCATGTAGACATTAAAGATCCCATCACAAATTTCAAGGGGAAGGGATTTCTCACCGTTTCTGTCCCGATTCAAATCCACTTTCATTGCCATTTCTTTCACGTTTGCCTGCCTGCATGACAAAAGTCATGTCACTTCAAAGCAACCCGTTGTGTTCAGCGCCTTTTGACGTGATAAGGCACCCTAACTGTATACCACAACTCTTAAGTGGGGCAGGGGAAGGAAGCTATTCAGGAGCTTGTTCTTCCCCTTTAACAAATAACAGTAAGATGTTTAAACGGGTTTGGGAGGGTGGGGGTGGGGGGAACAAGTCTTAAACACAGCACTGAAGTTTGAAACCCTTAACCTCTTAAACACTGCAATCTCAAAACAGCAAACACAGTGTTCAAAGCATAACCCTGCCCCAATTCCTGTTCGCCAGCACAAAGCAGTCTGGTTTGGAATACGCAACTTGTTTGCATATTCAAATAATGATGTTATTGAGTGTCATCTTATCATTCACTCTGCTACAGGGAAAAACAACCTTCCCCAAAATATATCTGCACGCACACAGATACAGAATTCACCAAAGTGTATCTTGGCATATATACATCTAGAAGACGTGAAAAGCGCTATATCAAATGCAAGGATTATTATTATTATATATATATGGTGGTCACAAGGAGACACGATTCTTACATTGTTGGGATTGCATTTACATAGCGCCGTTCACGCAGGGTAGTGTCTGGGAGCGCTTAAAATGCGAATGATCACACCACAATAAGTGTTGAACCCAAGAACATCCCAATAGTTCACGTAGACAATAAAGATGCGCTTGACAAATTTCGAAGAGAAGGGGTTTCTGCCAGTTTCTGTCCGGATTCAAATCCATTGCACTTTCACTGCCAATTTCTGTGGCGTTCGCCGGCGTGACAACAGTCACTACACTTCAAAGTAACCCACTGTGTACAATCCACACACGATCCCTCTTTCTGCATCCCTCCCTCCCCCCCCCACACACACACACCATCTCTCCTCTCCATTCACATCTGCACAGACACCGCAGACTTTGGGCTACTGCAACGTGCAAGAAATTCAGCAGTTGGGAGGCGCACTGAGCAGCTTTCTTTGTGGGGGGAAAAAAAAGAGGCGAACTCAAGAGTCAGTCCTTCCACACGGGAGGCCAACCCCAAGCTCCGAAATAATGGATCCAACCAGACATTAAATAAAACGGTGTCAGTGCGAGATCCTGTGTGTGTGGTGTGTGGTGTGTGTGTGTATGTGTGTAACTCGAGTCACCAGCTGTTTTTTTCTCTCTCTCTCTCTCTCTGCCTGAACATACCATTTCAATTAGACATCAGGAGGGTGTATGTATAGCTGTAACCAACACAAACACAACGATCTCTCTTCCCAGGTGATTGTGACATCTGCCCGGATCAGATTACAGCCCCGACTTTAGATCTGGGGCAAGGAAGGAAGATAGATAGATAGATAGATAAATAGATAGATCTCTTGTGAACCATCCCTGGTTCTGGCTCTGCAACACACTCTTTCTTTCTCTCTCTCTCTCACACACACACACACACACACACACCTGATCGCAGGGAAACACAGCATCATCTCTCGTTTTGTTTTTGTTATAACATTGTTCTTTTTTTTCCCCCACAGCTCCACACATCATTAAATTGACCCACACACACACACACACTGATACACACACACACTGATACACACACACACACTGATACACACACACACACACTGACATACACACACACACACTGACACACACACTGACACACACACTGACACACACACACACTGACACACACACACACTGACACACACACACACTGACACACACACACACTGACACACACACACACTGACACACACACACACTGACACACACACACACACTGACACACACACACACACTGACACACACACACACACACTGACACACACACACACACACTGACACACACACACACACACTGACACACACACACACACACTGACACACACACACACACTGACACACACACACACACTGACACACACACACACACACTGACACACACACACACACTGACACACACACACACACACTGACACACACACACACACTGACACACACACACATTGACACACACACACACACTGACACACACACACACACACTGACACACACAGACACACACACTGACACACACACACATTGACACACACATACATTGACACACACATACATTGACACACACACACACACATTGACACACACACACACACACTGACACACACACACACACTGACACACACACACACACTGACACACACACACACACTGACACACACACACATTGACACACACACACACTGACACACACACACACACACTGACACACACAGACACACACACTGACACACACACACATTGACACACACATACATTGACACACACATACATTGACACACACACACACACATTGACACACACACACACATTTCATGCAATTGCCAATGAACCTCACCCCCAACACTGACTCCGCGATCACAAAGGCGCAGTTCGGGGACGAGTGGTGGAATGATGAAACGATTCCCCTTTTGATATCCTGTTTTAATTCCACCGAATCAGGAGTTTTTTTTGATAATACATTTAAATTTTGTTTTAAAAAAATGAGAGGGGGGGTGTGAGGAGGGAAAGGGGGAGAGAGAGAGAGAGAGAGAGAGGAACGCACAGACAACTACACAAAGCAAAAAACCTTGCATTTGGACAAATTATTGGTTGGGATCCTCTCACTCCCCTCCCTCCCTCCCTCCCTCCCTCCCTCCTTCCCTCCCTCCCTCCCTCCTTCCCTCCCTCCCTCCCTCCCTCCGCCTCCCTCCCTCCCTCCTTCCCTCTCTCCCTCCCCTCTCCTCCTCCTCCCTCCCTCCCTCCTTCCCTCTCTCCCTCCCTCCCTCCCTCCTTCCCTCTCTCCCTCCCTCCCTCCTCCCTCTCTCCTTCCCTCTCTCCCTCCCTCCTTCCCTCTCTCCCTCCCTCCTTCCCTCTCTCCCTCCCTCCTTTCCTTCCTTCCTTCTTTCTTTCCTGCACCGGGACCAAATCCGCAAGAAGGAGGAACAGCTGCGAAATGTGTGGCATTTAAGAGAGGATTCGCCACCCGGTGAACAGACAGCCACAGGAGCCCGACCAGCCTTAGGGGGGGGGGGATAGAGATCTGATCCAACAGACCAGCCTGAGTGTTAGACCCCCCCCCATCTCCTCCTCGAGAACTCGCACCTTCTTTTGTTGCTCGGCTGACAAACCCTCCCCTCCCCTCTCCAGCGGGACCCCCACCCACCCACCCCCACCCCCACCACCCGGTGTGTGTCTCAGTCCCCGGACACAAAGCCCTCAGTCCCGACGTCCAGCTCCTAGTGCTAAACCTTCCAGCTCCGATCCCCTGTCTCCAGCCTCTAATACCCCCCCTCCCACCCCACCCCCCACACCCCCTCCACCCCCACACCCCCCTCCCCCCCCCCTCACCCCTTGTCCCCCACCTCCAGGATCCCAGCTCCTGTTTCCCAGTCCAAGAGCCCCCGGTTCCGAAACCCCTGGATCCCAATATGCAGAGACTCGAGAGCCCAAACCCTGAGAGCTCCTCGTTCACAAACTCACCAGCCCCGGGATCCCTGCCCCCGGTCACCAGCCCCGGGATCCCTGCCCCCGGTCACCAGCCCCGGGATCCCTGCCCCCGGTCACCAGCCCCGGGATCCCTGCCCCCGGTCACCAGCCCCGGGATCCCTGCCCCTCCGGTCTCCAGCCCCGGGATCCCTGCCCCCGGTCTCCAGCCCCCGGGAGCCCCAGTCCCCTAAACCGCAAGCCCCTCGCCCCCAGTCCCACCCGGGCTGCTCGTGCGGTAACCTGGGCTTCTCCACCTCACTTCTTTCTTGTGTTCCTGGTGCATTGCCCAACACAATAAAAAGTCAAGACACGGGGGAGAGAGAAGGGGGGGAGAGAGGGGGAGAGGGAGAGGGAGAGGCAAAAAAAAAAACAACAACTCCTTACCAACAAACTGCACCCATCCGTGCGGCAACGTCCATATTTTTCTTCTTTACAAAAGGATTCAGTTCTTTAACAGTTTCCTTTTGGTTGCAGGTGACATCATCCTGTTTTCCCCGCAGAAGGGAGGTGGGGGGAGAGAGAGAGAGAGAGAGAGAGGAGAGTGGGATGGGATGCGCGCACGCGCCGGAGTACAGGGTGAGGACGGGCGGGCCGCGGTGCGAGGCGGGAGTTGCAGTTCCCTCGCTCCTATTGGTCGCGGTGCGGACTCGCAGCGCGCGGTGGTGGTGGTGGGGGGAGGCGGGAGGCGGGGCGGGAGGGGACTACAACTCCCGGCGTGCCTAGCGGCTGGGTGTGGAGCCACGCCACGCCCTCCTTTTCGTTCCCGCTCACGGGAGCGTGTGATTGGCTGGAGATAAGCTCCGCCCCCCCCTCACCCGCCGCCGCCGCCGATTGCTTCTCCATTGATGAAACGCTACAATGTCGCTCACACGCGGATACTTTGTCTCCTCGGGACCCTGTGTGTGTGTGTGTGTGTGTGTGTGTGCGCCTGGTCAGCCTCCTCCCACTGCATTGCACACTGCCTGGCGAGCCTATATATTTAATTCATCAATGCACTAACACTAAGTAACGCCGCACTAGACGGTGCTGGGTTTTCTAGGAGGAAGAGGATGTGGGGGTGGGGTTGGGGTGGGGGGGGAAGAGAGAGAGAGAGAGAGGGATCGAAAATGAATTCGCTGCACTGCATCGTCCTAAGCCCCCCCCCCCCCAAAAAAAAACACTCGAATTTTTTTTTCCATGCGTTTGCAAAATCCCTGCCCCATCGTACGAATGCTTTAAGCGGTGAAAGGATAATTGGAAGTTGCCTCCGCTGAAGGATTTCGAAGGTTGCCTTAGCTGAAGAAATTGCAGTGGTTATTAAGAGACATTCAGACAGGATTCTGTTCAGTCAAGTACAACTGGGGTTGGGTCGATACAGAGATGATTTTTTTTTGTGTGGAATGACTGGTAAAAAAGGTAAAAAATTACCTTTTTGCGATAGATCAAATGTGCAGGTCATCAACCCGGCTGTACATTGACCTGTGTTTTGCCAGTCCCTGAGTTTAATGTAGATTACTGTGGTAAAAAGAACTTTAATTTCATTGCCATTTGAGGTAGTTGGTTGCACAAGCGATACAACTACCAATCATCCTGAGATCCTTCATACAACTCCCCAAATCAGACCATTCTCAATTTCCCAACGTTGCAATTTCCTCCTTTTAATTTGTTTTCTGAGTAAATAGGGCCGTTTCAAAACGATGACTACTGCATAACCCGAGTTAAAATATAGAATTAAGTGTGTTCCCAACCCTGAAACGTGTGTTCCTCTCTGAATAAATTGCGATTTCATGTCGAATGTGTCCGATAAGTTCAAACTTTAGTGCAGTGATAGCAAGGTATTGAATGCAATAACGTAACCCTATTGACCGTGTATACATAACAACACTTCGAGACAATACTTAGTTACCCTCCTTATTTGTAAATTGTATTTAAGACACTCTTGTGTTTCGCAACATTTTAAGTGCTTGGGGTTTTATTCCATACCTTGTTTTTAAAACACTTACTCGTGTAACTTTTGGGTGTACATTTCAACTGAAACTTAAACGTTGCATTTACGTTTTCTTGGTTAGTGAAGTTTCTGCAGTCGAGGTTCACTTACACACGAAAAACTCGGTAATGAATTGCGATCCAACTACCCATGTGTCTTAACTCCATGTGTCTAACCCCCCCCCCCCCCCCCCCCCCCCCCCCACCTCTTGCCAATTGCAGATCAATGTGTAATCGATGCTCACGGTATTTCCAAACGCATTCGGAACGTTACACGAAACTCCCCCAAACTTTTTACAAACTCTGTTTGCAATTTGGTGGGTCGCGAAAAAAAAAAACTCCTCGAGAAAATGCACAAAATGCGTTTGCTTTGCTTCAGAGAACGCCACAGGAATCATCCTGTCGTTTAATACATTCGACTGCTGGGATTATCAGATGTCAGAGAGAAAGGATCTTGCAGATTTTACGTGTAATCCATAAAATGCATCATGTACAGTCAGTATAAAAGTTGGATTCGAGTTGATCCTGAAGCACATAAGTGCAAAGTACCCTATGAATATGTTGAGCCATATATCGACATTTGTTATCTATCCCAGGGATGAATAAAAACTAAACGACGATCATGATGGTTTTTGGAGGTACACAGCTGTACATTCCTAAATGTGTAAAAGAGCAAAATGACAACAACTTGCATCACCTGAGCAATGCCTCAGAGCGATTTAACAAAGGTTGTTCAGGTTGTTTTTCAAGATGTAGGCAGGGGAGGAGGAGACTTGCTGGGTTTTATCACAGCAACTTTAGTGATATTTTGTTTTCAACAGTATAATTATAAAGCTCACCTGTCAATCTAAGAAGGGCAAATGCTTGTGTCGACTTTTGGTATAAATCCACAAACTTGCCATTTCTTGTACAGAAGAGGAACCTCAGACCTGTAGTTTGTTTGCATACTGACACAAACACAATTGCTGAATGTCAGACTGTCACTCCTGCATGGTGGAACTTGCGGATTTGGCAAATTCAAACCCAAATGTTTCTTGAACAAGCCATGGGATTTAAAGACACAGGCACACACATAGGATGATAAACTCATATAACACATTTATTCTTATAACAAGGTGTCCTGGCCAACGATCCCCCAAATAAAATTGCTCATTTGCTCCATGGCTGTTTGTGGGATGTCGCTGTGCGCAATTGTGCTGCCGTGTTTCACCCACAAAATACACTGTCACTACACTTTACAGTGAATCCTATGAAGCGCTTTGAGACATCCTTTCAATGTGATAAGGGCTATACCAAATGCAAGGATTATTATTATTATTATAATCCTTCAACACAGTGTGTTGTACAATACAGGTACAATTCTGCCATAGGGAGTTTCTGATTTCCAGCACAAACGCCTCATATTAGCTTTTTGCCTGAAAAATGTTTTTAGAAGAAACTTTGAACGTGGGAAGAAAGAAAACATAGAAATGTTCAGCCCTGAAGGGAAGCTATTTTTCTCATCTCATCTGTGACTCTGCTACCTGTATTTATCCCAATTTCCAGCTCTCTATCTGTTTAAGTCCCACCTTAAAATGTACTTATTTGACCGCACCTATGGGCACCCACTCCTTCTCCCTTGGTGGTTGTCCAACCCTGCCTTGTTATTCTACATTGGTAACAGTTGGTATTTGATAACAATTTAATTTTATTTAATTTCAATCACAAAACACAAGGTCAAAACTACATTACTGTATCATGTGAAGCACTTGAAGACATCTCGACAACATGATAAGGTGCAAAATCAAATGTAAGGATTATTATTATACCAACATTAAATTGCATTTATATAGCTCCTTTCACATCAATAGGACACTAACTGCAGGTTGTTGCTGTTGTTGTTCACAAATCCCTTAACAGGTTTACTGCTAAGATGCTTATTCTGTTCACTTTTGAATGATTCGATCGATCCAGCCTCAATAGCCATTTGTGAGAATGAAAACCATTAAAAAAATAGAAAAATAGAATGTGGTGGTGGGTGGTGGGCGGGGGGGGGGGGATGGCAAAGAAGATATGTGTCACCTCACATTTTCTCAGAGAGGAAATGCTGCAAAGTGGGTGGGTGGGGATGTTGGGATGGTTGGGCATAGCAAGGCTGCTTTTAAAATAACTTCACTTTTTTTGTCTTTCTGCCAAAACCCAATGCAAGTTCTCTCTAGCCCCACAGCCCCAGTATGTGAAAGTAACACATGAGCCACAAGAACCACTTACAGGGGGGAAAATAGTTTTCAGAGCTCGCAAGCTAAGCCACAACACGTTTCAAATCCAAGCCTGCGTGTTCTCGATTTTCCCTGGCTTTTTTTTCTATCACGTAAATTATTCGATAGAAAGACAAGTTTAAAAAGATAGGAGGATGTCTGTCCCATCTGCTTGTCTCTCACAGAGAGACGTTTTAATTCACTTGGTCTCTCTCTCTCATAATTATTTCGTTGGTATTGCATATTTCATTACACACAGCCCAACTTATAAATAAGTTATAATAAGTCTGTGCAGATTTCAAATGATTACATGAACCACTTCCAATAAGATGGCTGCTGTATTTTATTCTCTAAGAACATTTTTTTTATTTCTCCAGAGGAGCAGCTAGCACAGACAAGATGGTTTGAATGGCTTGCTTCTGTGCTGTAAACTCTACAATTTGCATCATCTGAGTTGCACAGTTTTCTGGCATAGGGCACAAAGAAATGAGGACAAGTATTCATCTGAACACAGTGCCCTATCATGCAACTTTTATTATGCATCACAGCGAGAGCATAACCAAATTGGATTTTAATGTAATAAAGTGCAAACCAACAGCTATTTAGAAAACCAAACAGAATTAGAAAATGATGTAGCACTTTGATGCATTTCCTGTTCTGTGTTGGTGGTCATGAAGCCTTTGTGCTCTGATCTTCCTCGGAGGCATCTCACTGTGTTGAGGATCAGCTGATCTGCTGCCCATAAGGCTAGAACTAATTTTAAATGGGTGAATTAATTGCTGTCCCCATCACATGTCAAGCTACTCGTAAAACAAAGAACAGCTTCAAACATCTGGCATCATGTGGACATTCTGCTTTACATCATCTCAACCATATTTAATCCCCCAACACTGATCTAACCACAGTTTCACCATAAAGACTAACTTTTATCACAGACATCAAAAAAAAACAAGAATTTCTGACAAAATGATTAGATCGCATGCACAACAGAATGCTTTGTACATATTCTGTTCTCTCTCTGAAAAACAACAGCTTCTTGCTATTGCTGCAGTAAGTCTCAAAGCATCACATAGACATACACTTTAGGCCTCCTTCTGTTGGACTTTGCCGTGATTTTTGAATCATTGTTTAGATAGTGCCAGAGCAGACAAGCTGGCCCGCCTATTGTTAGTCTCGAATAGTCGATCTTAAATGAAGTTTTGTTTGTTGGGCAACTTATTTGCAGGAGAACAATGGTGGACATTTTATCATGCTGTATTTTAAAGGGATATCAAGCCGACACATCAAAGCATTGATCTTCATAGATACCTTTTTCTGATAGGACACACATTTTTTTGTC